CCCCCCGGTGCTCAATGAGCTTTCCTGTGAGAATCTTGTCTATGTGGGAATACGTACTAAAAACACGAATTTCGGAAGATTGTCTAACTTTAAGCTTCAACTTTTTACAAAAAAGTATTGGAAAAAAGAGTTCATTCATCACTTGCTTCATTGCTAGTTCATCCAAAAAGAAGATATCAACATCAATTCGCTGCATACGTGAGGGACGATTGGCTAGAAATACCTGCACTGGTAGGGCAACACCGAGTCGAGTCTTTATATCGAGTATTATACTTTGATTACCATCCCACTGCATTTCCAACTCCATGGTTATACCATCAGTTCCTCCATCTTCAATTATGGAAATTCCTGACATATAGAATAGGACAGCAAGAACTTCATATAAACTTTAGAACAGAGTGTTTATAAACTTAATTTCTGATAACATTACTTGGAATGAAAGAAGGAAAAAAGGAAACACCCATTAATTTCAAACAAAATGCTGGTTAGGAACTACGATCCTCCACAATGGTATGATATTGTGCACTTTGAGCATTAGCTCTCGTGGCTTTGCTTTTGGTTTTCCCCAAAAGATCTCATACCAATGGAGATGTATTCCTTACTTGTAAACCCATGATCAACCCCTTAATTAGCCGATGTGGGACTCCTCTCCCAACAATCCTCAACAATGCTCACTTTTGTTTTTGATAATTGAGGTAATCCCACGTTGGTTGGGGAGGAGAACGAAATACTCTTTATAAGGGTGTGTAAACCTCTCCCTAGAAGGATCATTTTAAAAACCTTGAGAGGAAACCCGAAAGGGAAAGCCCAAAGAGGACAATATCAGCTAGCGGTGGGCTTGGGCCATTACAAATGGTATCAGAGCCAGACACCGAACGATGTATCAGCGAGGAGGCTGAGCCCCGAAGGGATGGACATGAGGCGATGTGCCAGCAAGGACGCTGGGCCCCAAAGGGGGTGGATTTGGTGGGGATCCCACATCAATTAGAGAAAGGAACGAGTGCCAGCGAGGACGCTGGGCCTCAAAGGGGGTGGATTGTGAGATCCCACATCGGTTGGGGAGGAGAACGGAACACCCTTTACAAGGGTGTGAAAACCCCTCCCTGGCAAACGCGTTTTAAAAAACCTACAGAGGAAGCCCGAAAGGGAAAGCCTAAAGAGGACAATATCTAAAGAGGACAATATCTGCTAGCAGTGAACTGGATTGTGAGATCCCACATCGGTTGGGGAGGAGAACGAAACACCCTTCACAATGGTGTGAAAACCCCTCCCTGGCAAACGCGTTTTAAAAACCTACCAGAGAAGCCCGAAAGGGAAAGCCTAAAGAGGACAATATCTGCTAGCAGTGGGCTTGAGCCTTTACAGAATTTGTCAACCTTAGACGGTATCGAGAGACGATGAGAGTTTTAAGTTATCAAGTTTTTAAAGTTAGGAACTAGGATTTAGGTCTTTCTAAACATCTCTAGCCCTTGTTGCAGGGCCAAACTTCACATAAGAGGCCAACGTTTGAAGTAGGAACATAAAATACAAGTGTATTACGGCATTGAAAGCAACCCAATGAGTGAAAAATCAGGCAGAACAAGAGAAATCATCAACCCCAGCTCCCCAACATGAACAAACCTGTGAATTGTGGAGCCACAGTGCCAAGGGTGAACCTGGAAAACTTGAGTGATGACAGAATGATAGGCCTATATTGTTCAAGAACAGGCTCTACTGAAGCCTTTATCAGATCAGAAGCAGCCTATTACACAAAATTCAACAAGGTAAAAAAGGGACCAACACATCAACAACAAAACCCAGAAACAAAAACAAAAACAAAATCTACCTCATTAACATACGGCCAAATCTTGGTAAGATGCTGATTGAGCCAAGTCAACTGCAAAATGGGGCAACAGATCCAATGTCAATCCACCATGAACAGGCAACCTCATGAACTTCATCCAAAAGTGAAACAAGAGGGAAAAGTTAGAAGAAAACTCAACTTTTGGCTCTGGGAAAAGACGACCCAAGAGGGATAATACTGAGGAGGCAAGATCTTCCTCGAATCTTCCACTGTCATTCTCGCAAAAGCAGCGATTGTAGCAGCAAGATCAGCCCGTCGCTTCGACCGAGCATTCTCGGACTTTACAAAACCCACGACAAGACCTAGTCCGACAAACACACCCAGCACGAGACCTAGCACAAACGCCATTTGAGCTACTCCGTGCGAACTTCAGTGGATTTGGGGACAAAACTTTGATGGGTTCTAAAGAAACTGGGTGAAAAATAAGACGATCAAGCAAGAACCCAAGACAGTAGACATGAAATACATGTAGAGAGAAAGAAATCGGGAGAGGAATTGAAGAACTGGGAAGATTAAGGTTCGGGGAGAGGAATATGCTCAAACCATTTTGGCAGCGTGATTGGCGTGTGATCGATGAAATCGAGCTGGAATTGGACGGATGAGTATACTTTTTCTGAGTGTCGCTATTCCGGCAGCCGATTAAACCGTGTTGCCGACACGAAAACGTCGGGATTGGATCTTTCTCTCTCTCTCTTAAGCAAATCAGTGTTAATAAATGGTTGATTTTTAGCCTTTTATTAATAAGAACACAAATAAAATCAATGAATTTCAATAGGGTATGATGAAGAACAAATAAAAATGCGTACTTTTTTTTAGATAAGGGAGCGGAAAATGGATCTTGCTGAATGCTGCTGTACCCATTATGATTTGGTGATGAATAGTTAATCAAAATATTAAATAGATACGCATAACCTCCGTATTTCAGTAAAAATTATGTTTAGAAAAGTCAACGGGAGTTTTTTTTTCAAAAAATTACTTTGTGTATTTTAATTTATTCGTCTATTGATTCTTTCACATCAACTCAACGAATATGAGACGGTACAAAAGCTCAAAACATTAAGAACATTAACTCGAGATTAGGACCAATTGACTGAGAAAATAGTTGAAGAGGCTGCCACAAAATGACCGACAATTTTGCACGGTTCGATGTATAAAAGATGGTTAGGACTAATCAAGAAGATTGGCACTTCCCGTCACTTTTTCACATTCTAGATCATTCTCTAAGGTTTGTTGCTCCTCTCGATAGTTCTTATCTCATTGCAGAATTTTTGTCTTACTTTAGAAAGAGTTTTTCTCAAGACATCGAGTTAATCTCATGTCTGTTCAATCTTCTAGTGAACCTTAATTTAACCATTGAAAAGAAAGGTGCACGGTTGCTATACATAACAATTATCAATTCTTTTAAGTCTGTTTTTTAACCATAGTTGCTCTTATTTAAACGAGATATCGGTTCATTAATGTTTTTTTTTTTTTTTTTTTGATGTCATATATAAGATTAAAAAAAATAATTTATATCGTTGAATTGGACATTTTTTGAGCTTTTTGTCTTATTTTTGGTAGGTAAATGTAATAAATAATAACAGTGCTTTTTAAGGTGCATCATTTTCTAAGATAGGTTGTACATTAAATGTGGACAAAATTCAACAAATAATTCAATTATAGCCCATAATTGTTCATGAGAAGCCCACGACCAATTACACTTTTTTTTTTATAATTTAATTTAATTTAATTTTTTTATAATTATTCAATTATATTATAAGTTTAGTGCTTAAATTTTTAGGTTTAAATGATCGGTTAAATATAATAATTGAATTTGATGTAATATTGGAGAAAAAGAGAGTACATAAATGAACCAATATGACCCCTAAATGAGAGCATTCTCGAAGATGGAATGACTAAAAAAGATTTAAAACAATTAAAAGTTACTATCTATACCAACAAAGTACACCTTCTTTTTCGGTGGCTCAATCATAGAAATTTCATTGGTTAAATGTGCAGCAATTCTATGTTGGGTGACCTCTTAGGAAATTTTCTTAGATGCATGTGAGTGAAGACATAACATGCTTAAATGACTTGTGTTGGTCTGTGGGGACTGTCGTACGAGGAGTGGTTAACGTGCATACCATAAGGGAACGCCCGAAATCCACAGGTCTCAAGTGCTGAATTTTGGACATGGGTCGTTAATTTGTGACACATATTTAAGTAGATGGGACATTTAGATGAACTCGAAGAATTAAAAATAATAAGAAAAAGAAAAAAAGGAAAATGACAAATGGAATAAACCAAATAAGACCAATCAATGGCTAAAAATCTTCAACCCTAAGCCAAGAAAAATAATAATAATGAATTGTTATTTTTGGATAAAGACATAAAGCAAAAGACACAATATATTTATAATTACTAAATTCCCAAATATATTTAAAAAGGAATATTATATGATTTAATTTTAGAAAATTTAATTTTTTCAGTTGTTTAAAAATCTTAATCTAAAATTTTAATTTCATGAAATTATATTTCAAGCTTAAATAAATATTATAATCATCTGCCAATTCTTCATCGCAGGTCGCCATTGTTGGGGCTAATGTCTGCTCCCATTAAGAGCCTTGATTACGAGTGAGTTGAGTTATTTGTTTGGGTTTTCTTCTTTTCCCCTCTTTTGGATTTTGAATTCTGTTTATTGGGTTTAGGGTTTATGTAAACCCTATTTCTGGGTTTGATTAGGGTTTTTTTTTTTTTTTTACTCTGCTATTGATGTTGTTTGTTTCAGGATTTTTGATAACGAGTTATTCGTGCAAGATTGGCTGGCGATGCGGGATGAACAGGAAGCCGGGTTACGGTGCCTAACTGCGTGCTAACCTAGATCCTTCAAAGGGTGTTGGTCGATTAAGACGGCAGGACGGTGGTCATGGAAGTTGAAATCCGCTAAGGAATGTGTAACAACTCACCTGCCGAATCAACTAGCCCCGAAAATGGATGGCACTGAAGCGCGCGACCTATACCCGGCGGTCGAGGCGAGGAATCGTGAGGATTTCCAGATATTTCAATTACTTGGTTATGAAGTGGCTTTCATGCTTCTTGATCGGTTTGATAATGGGTCTTGTTGGTTTCTGAAATAATCTAGCAGTGGAGAATATTGCAGGGAAGAAGTTTGTGGTCACTTCCAATATGATGGTCGAGGGTGTTAGGAATTACGACCCTCCACAGTGGTGGTGGCGTTAGGAATTACAACTCTCGTGGTGGCGTTGCTTTGGGCGTTCCCAAAAGGCCTTATACCAATGGAGATGTATTCCTTACTTATACACCATGATCATTCTCTAAATTAGCGAACGTGGGGCAGGTACTGATTTCACTTTGTTCTTCTGTGCTACTGTTGATTGAAATCTTTGCAACCTGTTCTATTAGTTTTAGTGGAATTTGGCTCAAGTAGGAGTAGGATTGATGTTACTAGGAACAGAGTTTTTTGGTTATTGAGTAGTAATTATATGGGAACTTAGCCAACAGACATGCATGATAACTGGCTTAAGCTCTAGGTTTTGAAAGAAAAGCTGTGTTAAAGGGAAGCTAAACTATTTTCCAAGACATTGATGGAAATTGAAAGTTGTGAGATCCCACGTTGGTTGGAGAGGGGAACGAAGCATTCTTTATAAGATTGTGGAAACCTCTTCCTAGCAGGCGTTTTAAAAACCTTGAGAGGAAACCCGAAAGAGAAAAGCCAAAGAGAACAATATTTGCTAGTGGTGAGCTTGGGTTGTTACAAATGGTATCAGAGCCAGATACCGGATGATGTGCTAGTGAGGACGGTAAGCCCCTAAGGGGGGTGGACACCGGGTGGTGTATCAGGGAGGACGCAGGACCCCGAAGGGGGGTGGATTGTGATATCCTATATTGATTGGAAAGAGAAACGAAACATTCTTTATAAGGGTGTGGAAACCTCTCCCTAACAGACGAGTTTTAAAAACCTTGAGGGGAAGCCCGGAAAAGTCTAAAGAAGACAATATCTGCTAGTGGTGAGCTTGAGCTGTTACAAATCTTTTAGGTACGAGGTAGCTTTTCTAGTCGGCTCAGGTAGACCAGAAGTAAAGGCTTATCTGCCCATGGAATATTATCGCCTCGCACACTGTTAGTGAAGGTAAAACAGTTCCTTGTACATTTTCCCTTGAGTTTCAGAATTTCCTCGTTTCTTCAGGGTTTGTACTTGTAAGTTGTAGGATTTCTCCTTTGTTTTGAAGCATTGGTAATGACTTGGAATTCCTCTTTTGCTGTTTCTTCGTTCTATGTTGTTCTGAAGTTACTCTCAAACTCTCTTAAACAAAGAGCCAAGTAATTCATGGTGGTTTCTCTCTTGCAAACTTTTGTGCTAGACCAGTCAAGGAGATGCACAATGATTGATTTCTTCAATACTGATGATGAGCAGTGGAAGCTTATTTCGAGCTAGTTTAGTAATCTTCCTATTTGTTTGGATCGAGAATAGGATTCTTCCCCGACTCTCCACAATGGTATGATATTGTCCAATTTGAGCATAAGCTCGCATGAGTTTGCTTTTGGTTTTCTCAAAAAGCCTCGTACCAATGAAGATGTATTCCTTACTTATAAACTCATGATCAACCCCTTAATTAGTCGATGTGAGACTCATCTCCCAACAATTCTCAACAATCCTCCTCTCGAACAAAATACACCATAGAGCCTCCCTTGAGACTTATGGAGCCCTCGAACAGCCTCCCCTTAATTGAAACTCGACTCCTTTGGAGCCCACGAACAAAATACACAATTTTTTGACACTTGAGTCACTTTGGACTACATCTTCAAGGCTCACAACTTCTTTGTTTGACATTTGAAGATTCTATTGACATGGCTAAGTTAAGGGCATGACTTTGATATCGTGATAGGAACCACGACTCTCCACAATGGTATGATATTATTATCCACTTTGAGCATAGACTTTCATGACTTTGCTTTTGGTTTCTCCGCAAGATCTCATACCAATATAGATACATTTATTACTTATAAACTCATAAATTAGCGGATGTGGAACTCCTCTCCCAACAATCCTCAACATATATTGCATCCTTGGTACCAAGTCGGGGGGTTTCATATCTCGAGATCTTGTTACTTATGGAGTGCTTTTTGTGCTCCTGTTGGTGGCGTACTGTTTGCTTTTGAAGAGATGGCATCTTGGTATGTATAATGGCCGAGGACAAGGGTTTCTCTCCTTGTTATTGTGCTTGAATTGACCAATAATTTGTTGTTGCTGCCTTTAGAAATGTTTGTTCTCCTTATTTCCAAGACTGTAGCTGATGCTTTCAACAGTGATATATATAACTTAATCATGAAAGCGAAAGGATTTCCTTATCTAGAAAGCCATGTCGAGACATACATGAGGCCGGTGACGGTCACTAATGTGTTAACGAGTCGGGGATGTTGAAAAAGAGGATACTTCTAAGCTATTCTCAGTTGATGATTTTGCAAACAACGTTGAAAGGATTGAACATGTACAATTGATCGTAGACGAGATGGGGATGTTCAATGATGGTAGGAAAATAAATATAATTTTCAAAAATAAAAAATCAAAATCAAAACAAAATCTAAATTATCATAAATAAAAAAAGTACAATTTCCAAAGATATTAGAATTGGAGCCTCTCTCTCTTCAGATATTTGTGGATCTCTATACATTGCTTGAAGTTCAATTAAAGTATGTGACCCAAGATCCTAAATTTAAGTTCTATTTTCTAATATTGACCTCTAAAAAATATATATTATAAAAAAAAATAAAAAATAAAACTAATTTTCAAACGTAAACTAATTTTAAAGTTAAGTCGAACGAATTAAACCCTTAAAACATTTTATTTATTTGAATCTAATACAATTCAAGTTGATAATCTGTTAAGTAAATTGTAATGTTTTTTTAATTAACTATTTATTAGGACTTATTTTGATCAGCTCATTCATTAGTATATAATAATTTTGAAGGATAATCAATTGATTCAAATTAAAATTCTAGTTAATAATAATAAATTATAATTAATGAAAAATAATTAAGTGTTCTATTGTAATAATTATTTTATACATGATTTTTTTAATATTAATAAATTATTATAAATATACAAGATCTATAAAATATATCTCATTTATTATAATTTACTCTACCATATATTCATTAGATTTTTAACATGCTACGGACTATTAACTATATAATTTTATTATAATTATTTATTTGAAGATAATTATTAAGATTGATTACCAAAAATAAAAATGAAAATTTAATTACTTAGAATTATTTTAATAATTTAACTTAATAAAAATAAAATAATTAACCACGACTAATTATCTAAAATTAATGGTTGAAATATGAAATTTTCCATTTCTCATGAACACAACTCAATTGACAATTGATTGACATTTTTTTCCAAACATTTTATTTCCAGGCATCACAAACAAAACGTTTAACCAAACACTTCTGTCTCTTATCTTGAGCAAACCAAAAGTGACTTGAATAAGTTTAGAGTATTCAGATATCGAGATTTTTCATATCTCCATGAAGAGGGTATCTAAAGTTCAATCATCTCATGTAAACAAAATGAAAATGAAGTAGAAAACTATAGATTTGTAGATTAATTTTTAATTAGATTTGTGAATCTGAGTTCTTAAGAATTCTTATTTAAGGTACCGGTGTCCACAAGCATCACTCTTTCCAAGCAATGTTTCCACCATATCATTCAACGTAATGCATTAATTAATCACCACATCGATTTTAGAAGAAGAAGGAAGAGTTTCTAACCTTTTTGTGCCTGCAATCTCTTCAGTTTCTCTTTCAAAAGCTTAGAGCAAGAGAGAGAGCTTGAAGAGTTCAGCCATGGCAAGCTTCCGCTGCTTGTTACTCCCAGCATGCCTTCTTCTTCTTCTTCTTTTTGTTCTCCTGTTTCTCTCTATTCCGCCATTGTTTGACCTGTCACAAGTAACTGAAGCTATTCCATTAGCATCTTTCTTTCCCATAACTGCCATGAGAGAAGGCAACAAGCCCATGAAAGCTATATTCATCAAAGTAAGCATGAAAGAAGAAAAGCTCTCCCTTTCAGTTCTTTTGTTTTGTTTTTGTGTGTGTGTGTGTTTTGGTTTTCATAATGGGTTTGTGGAGCAGAAGAAGAAGACGAGCTTGAGGATGATCGAAGCAAGTTTGGCCGAAGCTCGAGTGTCGATCCGAAATGCAGTTCGGTGGAAAAACTTCACATCAGAGAAGAAAGAAACTTACATTCCCAGAGGCTCCATTTACCGAAATCCTTATGCTTTTCATCAGTTGAGTTTTTCCTACTGAAAAAAGAACAAACATATGAATATATGATATAAAATTTGAGTGATTTGATGAACTATGCTTAAAGTATATATCCAAAATGTTATGCAGAAGCCACATAGAAATGGTGCAGAGGTTCAAGGTATGGAGTTACAGAGAAGGGGAACAGCCTCTGGTCCATGATGGTCCATTGAATAGCATATACGCCATTGAAGGCCAATTTATAGATGAGTTAGATTGCAGCAAGAGCCCTTTTAGAGCTAGCCATCCTGATCAAGCTCATGTGTTTCTTCTCCCTATGAGCATTACCAACATCATTCATTTCATTTACAGACCAATTACCTCTCCCGCCGACTACAACCGTGATCGGATGCACCATGTGATAACTGATTACATTCGAGTAATTGCCAACAGGTATCCATATTGGAACCGAAGCGAAGGTGCTGATCATTTTATGGTTTCATGCCATGATTGGGTAAATAAGATTCAACCAACTTGTTATCAAGTCTCTGTTTCTTCTTTTTCTAATGCTTCCTCTAAACTTTTAATGGTGATTTCAAGGCACCAGAAATGTCAGATGCCAACCCCCAACTGTTCAAGAACTTCATCAGGGTAGTATGCAATGCAAACATCACAGAAGGCTTTCGTCCCGACATAGACATTTCACTCCCAGAAATCAACATCCATCCTGGAACTTTAGGGCCACCTGACTTAGGCCAGCCACCAGAAAGCCGCACAATTCTAGCTTTCTTCGCTGGAGGAGCTCATGGATACATAAGGAAGATCATGATCCAACATTGGAAGGAAAAAGACAATGAAGTTCAAGTTCATGAATACCTTCCTAAGAACCAAAATTACACCAAATTGATTGGAAAAAGCAAGTTTTGTCTCTGCCCGAGTGGCTATGAAGTGGCAAGCCCGAGGGTGGTGGAAGCCATCTATGGTGGTTGTGTTCCAGTGATCATTTCTGATAATTATTCATTACCATTCAGCGACGTTCTAGATTGGAGTCGGTTTTCGGTGCAGATACCTGTTAAGAAAATACCAGAAATAAAAACAATCTTGAAGGCTATCTCAGAAGAGAAGTATTTGAAGATGTACAAAGGAGTGATGAAAGTAAAGCGGCATTTCAAGATAAATAGGCCTGCTAAGCCATTTGATGTAATTCATATGCTGCTTCATTCACTGTGGCTTAGAAGGCTTAACTTTGGCCTTCCTCATTGAAAACAGCTCTAATTAGGCAAAATTCAAAAACCCATTTGCTATAGTTAGAATGAGAGATAGAGAGGATTCTGTACCTTGTAAAACATCGGTTAGCATTCGTTCGAGTTCCTTGCAAGATTTTCATCACAGCATGATCTTCTAGTAACTGTTGGCCTGTTAGATCATAACAGAGAATAGAGAGATCAAATATAATTGCTCACGAATGAGTATGAGCGAGTCTTGCCAAAACGAACATAGTTAAACAACAATGACATGTATTTTACGATCATAGGTTACTATGCAAAGACGTCATGTTTGGCACAGGTTTTAAAAAACAGTACATACAAGAACTCCTTTCCATCACCTTCATGGGACACTTTTTACTGGGGAATTACCAATTTCAAGACAACCAATCAAAATGTAAAAAACATGTCAAGGAACAGAGACCAGCTAAAATCTCATTCCAATAAAACTGGTCTCTCAATTGGTGACAGAGACCAATAACTCTCTTCAACCTCAAATTCAACCTGTAAAGAAATTGGAGTACAAAAGCTATGGTGGCCAAGAGATTTTAAAGGATATAGATGATTCCACAGCCTAATAAATACACAGAAAACAATAAGGTTTAGGCTCTAATATTCCATTTTTACAAGTGCATCAGAAACTTCTGCAAAATCAGATTGGATCCAGTCCCGTGTACATATAATTGCTTCGACAGTAGCAGGTCGTAATGAACTTCGATATGAATCCATCTCCTTGATCTCCATATCAAATATCGATTCTGGGGGGAGAGTACAAACTGGTATTGATAAAATATCACGAGCCATTGTTGAAAGAGTTGGATACTTCATCTTGTTTTGCTTCCACCAGCCTAATAAGTCAAAGTCCTGCACACGAGGCAGCAGCGACTCGGCCAAATACTGATCAAGTTCGGATTTCATTTGCTGGCTCGAAGTCTCCATTATGAAGACATCAAAATCGGTGAGACCATTGTCTGACAGAAGACTTTCACTCTGAAGTCCTTCTGACTTGACGTTGCTTCCTCCATTCCCTTCATCGGCGTAAGTTGGCGTTAGAGGCAACGGAAGTGTGACGTATTCATGGAAGAGCTCGTGGATCCCATCGTCAACAATCTTAATGTAAGCAGGAGCTTCATCACCATAAAGTTTATTGAAACTAAACTCTACAAGTTTCATCTTGAACCGAGGATCCATAACTACAGCTGCAGCCAAAATTAGACCACAATCCTTCCAATATTTGTTGATCTTTTCTTGCATCATTTGAGAGAGGCTGCAAGTGAATGGGTCTTCGCTGGCAAGTGCACGAGCAAGCTCCAAGTGAATCCTCCATACTTCGTGAAAAAACGTAATCACGGTTGGGTTGCTTATAGTGCTGAGAATGCTTGCAGCATCAAAGAGAACTTTCAAACATGTGCAAAGAGTCTCAATTTGCATCCAATCATCCCTTGTTGGCACTTCTTTATAATCAGGATCAGAATTATCCAGACACGAAAACACTTCTTTCAGCTCAAGTGCAGCAATCAGCATAAAATAAGTTGTGTTCCATTGTGTTAGGTCGTCCAGACACAGGCTTCTCTCTGTTGGGACCTGAAGCTGTTCTTTGAGCTCAAGAAACTTTGCTTCATTAGACTCAGACAACTTCACATTCTTTACGCAATCCCGAATTTTCTTAACAATGACCGATCCCGCAGTTAACACATCATCTGCAATACTGCTTAATGTACGTGCAATACATTTACTAACCAAAAATTGGCCATTCAGGATATGGGAGTTTTTGATAGCAAGCAGGGGCCTCAAATTTCCAAGTGCAGACTCAGTGGCATGATGATCAAAGGTGAGAGAAAATAGTTTACCTTCCAAATTCCAATCAGAAAGGCACTCTGAAACTGCATGACTTAGGGCTGTATCAGAATCAGGATATGGTTCCATGACCACGCTGAGAATCCGCCGGTGCAGCTTCCAATCGCTATCCACAAAATGACCTGTTATTACAGCATAAGCGACAGTTTTACTCGATGTCCACATGTCCAGCGAAAGACAGATGCGCCCTGGAATACCCTCAATTAATTTGATGACACTTTGCTTTTCTGCTAGGTAGGTTCCAATGCAGTCCCCTTGGAAATGGTTGAAATCCCTTACATTAAATCGCGGTTGAATATTCTGTACAAAAGATACAAATCCAGGATTTTCAACCATGTGGGGTTGGTAATCATGCATAATAATCATCCGAGTGAATTCGTGGCAACATCGTTCCTGATCAAACATGATAGAAGATGAGTTGGGACTTCTATAACGTCTTTTTGGCGGATCACTTCCTTTCGAAGCTGGAGTCGATGGCGTTAAATGACTTTTGTCCTGATTGCGTAGAAGTGCAGCACATATTCCCTTAGCAATATGCCGTTTTAGGTGACTAGTACCGGCTACTTTTGATCCCGTACTATATGCAAAACTTTGCTTGCATTGCTTGCAATACGCCCTTCTACATCCAGCACTTACATTTTCTATGGTAAAGTGCTCCCAGACTATGGACTTCTTTTTCCTCCTTTTGCTCGGCTGTTGTTCTGTGTTGGTCAGCGCACCATATTCATCAGAGTTTGGCGTTTTTTCCACATAGGGAGTTAACATCATTTCATGAGGTGTATCCATTACAACCCGAAGAAAGAATTCCTGCTACAAAATAACCATCTACATTTAGACAAGGATATCTACAGCCTATAACGTTGAAGTGTAGATCACAGGAAAGCATAAATATCGGGATATTAAGAAACAACCAGTAAGTAGAGGTAACAAAGGACGAAAACCTTTAAGTTTCAAATTTGTACAAACAAGATATTACATAGCCTGGCCTTATAGTTAATTGCAGAATGTTTGAGAGCTAACTCCGTTAACAGTCCAGTATTGGCCTAACAACCGCATTCGATTAAAAATAATGAAGTTAAGAAATTTACAAGAACAGTGAAGCAAACCTCTGGATGAACCTAGGAAAATAGTACCAAAAAAATACAGAATTACTAGCTATAGTACATGTGAGAAGGCTAAAGAAATTGAAACAAAACATATGGTTCTATACACTGAAAGGTTAAATTACAAAGTTTTTAGCCGTTGGCCTTTCCAATCTGTGGCTTGAACTTTGAAAAGTGTTTGACCTCTAAACTTTCAATTGTATTTAATAGATCCCGAAATTTTCGATTCTGTCATAGGTTGTATATTGAAAAACATATCCATGAAATTTTAAAGGTAGCACACCTTTGTTCAAAAAAGTTTTTTACCATCAATATATGGACGAAAATCATTTACTAACATCTCATAAATTATCTTCCCTCTTAGCGTTACTTTTGAAAGTTCACAAGTATTTTTGACAACTAATAGTAAGATTATTTTAAAAAAGTTTAAGGGTACTCATGAAACTTCTAAAAATTTAAAAGGTATTTGAAACACATTTAAAAGTTGATATTTTTTTAAATCTTTTTAAAAGTTCAAGAGTATTTTTTAAACAAATTATTAACCGTTTTCATCCAAAACTAAGTTTAAACTTTTTTTTAAAAAAAATTAAGGTATTTTTTAGACTTTTTGAAAGATTAAAAAAGTATTGTTGAAAGAAAGTTGCATTTTTTTTTACTAAAGTCAAAGGGTATTTTTATTTATTTACACTTTATTGACAGTTATACACTTAAAAGAACGAACTTGGTGTACAATGTAGGCCGTACGAGTGGATCGGGGGCCATTGAAGATGACGTGTCAATCTTAGCCAGAAAAAAAAAGCCTAACCAGTAACCAGACCACTTTATGTATGGCTGAAAAAAAGCCTTAATTAATCAAACGCAAAACTCCCCCAGCCCACCGTGGAGCCCACGTGGGATCCAGCCAGGTCAATAATAACTTTTTTTTTTTTTTTAATAATTCCGATAATTTCTCCCACGGGCTAATAAAAGGTAATTCGAAGTACGATCTAGGGTTTGGTTCATCAAGCTTTGGGCTTAATTTCCAGCAAACAGCCCAGATCAAAGGAAAACCCATAAAATCGAGAAACAAAAACAATCCCGATGATTCCCCAAACACAGAATCGGCTGCGCCTATAGAATTCGAACTATGAAATGAAACCATAACGAAACAAGAAGCAAATCCAACGCCAAAATCCCAAACACAAACAGAAACAATGTTAAATAACATGAATACAATTTTCCGATAGAACATAAGGCATAAAACGAAGAAAATAAAAGGTTTTTCGCGAACGAAAATTGTAGAGAAATCGAGCGAGAAATGCAGAAGGAAATTTACCGGAAATTAAGACGGAGAAAAGGAAGACGAAGAGTTCTTCGATGAGCGTTGCAAGCCCAGCGACGGAGCTTCAGGGCCGGCGATGGATTCAGATCTAGGGTTTAACTGGGAGAGAGAGAAATTGGGCTTTGAGCTAAGTGGACCGAGAGAGAAGGGAGAAGGAATTGGGGGAAAAGAAATCGAAATCGAAATCAAAATTAAGACGGTCCCTGTATTGGACTCCCTTTAGGGTCCAATATTGTTTTTATTTATTTATTTATTTATTCAATTTTCTCAATAATAAATAAATAAATATATATATATATATATATATATATAGATAATTATACAATAAAAGTATATAATTAAGAAAAGGTCGTGAAATTGTGCCCTCTCCTCGTCTCATAATTTCATTGCTTGAGCCTATTTATTGTTAGTCTTTCTTATTTCACAGTCTCTAATTTTATTGTCTGAGTCTATTCATTGTCAGTCTCAATTTTATTAAACTTTTTTATAAACTTCAAAACATTTATATATATCTTTACTGTTATGTCACTTTTAAAATTAAAATTCCATAAAATTTCATATGTATTTTTTAAATATATTCTAACTGTAATGATATTTTTTAATTTTTTAAAAAATTTAAAAAATATTAATGAAACATGATCTCTAAAGAAATAGTTTTGGGGGTCGTTTCGTAGGCATGAGGTGTCGTTTTTGCTTTATACGTTGTTTGTTGTTATTGTTCTAAAAAAAGTTGTTTAAATGGACACTAACTCTATTTAACGAGCGAGAAAAATGGTGTAAGTAGCAGTTTCTAAGTATTCTATATCGTCTTAGCATTATCGTAACTTTGACATCAAAAAGTAAAAAATCCTTATAACAAGTTATGGAACTCTCGATTGTGTGAGTTCTTCAGTATTTACTAATTTGCTAGAAGTGAAGCATATATGTCAAAATTTGTGAGTTCCACACGGTTTGATATAAAGAAATTTGATGGAACGATCCACTATTGGTTGTAGCACGTGCAAGTCAATTTATTATTACAACTTGGATTATATAAGGCCTTCAAGAGAAGATCGAGAAGTAGCGTTTTTGAAGAATTAAGGAGTGATGGAATTAAGATTTGCAATTTATTTTCAATATATATTTCCAAAATTTTCATTTCAAAACTTAAAAAGTTATGTTTAACAGGGGTTAAAGAATAAACCGTCGAAAAATAAGTATAAATAAGTTTATAACATAACTTAAACTGTTTGGGTTGAGTTAAGTTAATCAGATTGTTCGAGTTATTGAGTCTTGCTATACTAACCCTAGTTAAATTCGAGATTGTTCGAGTTATTGGGTCTTGCTATACTAACCCTAGTTAAATTCGAGATTGTTCCAGTGATCTTGCTATACTAACCCTAGTTAAATTCGAGATTGTTCGAGTTACTGGGTCTTGCTATACTAACCTTAGTTAAATTCGAGATTGTTCGAGTTACTGGGTCTTACTATACTAACCCTAGTTAAATTCGAGATAATTCAAGTTATTGGGTCTTGCTATACTAACCCTAGTTAAATTCGAGATTGTTCGAGTTACTGGGTCTTGCTATACGAACCTTAGTTAAATTCGAGATTGTTCGAGTTATTGGGTCTTACTATACTAACCCTAGTTAAATTCGAGATAATTCAAGTTATTGGGTCTTGCTATACTAACCCTAGTTAAATTCGAGAACGGAGAAATGGTGCGAGTGGTACAAAAAATTGAAGAAAATGTTCTCGTAAATGAGATCGGGAAAGAGAATCGTGTGTAATTGTAACAATTTTTATAGGGTATGATCTTTGATGCCGGAGGGTATTGGCGTTGCCCATTCCCTCGCCATCCACGCCGGGGCTGCATCGTTTTCTGCCATATGGGTTGAGGAAGTTCCAAAGTGGGCGACACCCGACTTTCAACCACACCGACAATCTTTTCGTTTTCTGTCAATTACAATAAGATTATGCTTAATGGTCATGATTTATTAGTCTTAATCATAATTAATGTTCATTATAACTTTTTTTTTTTTTTTTAATTCTACCTTTTTTGTGTTCAAACTCGTGAGACTTTAACTCATACCCTTCATATGAGCCTCTGTATCGTTGAAGAGGAGAATAGAACATTCTTTATAAGGATGTGGAAATCTCTCCGAGCATACGCGTTTTAAAAATTTTGAGGGGAAACTCGGAAAGAAAAGTCCAAATAAGACAATATCGGCTAGTGGTAGGCTAATTCTAACTTTTTCTGTTCTAACTCGTGTGAGACTTTAACTCATACCCTTGATGTGAGATTCTATATCGGTTGAAGAGTAGAATTAAACATTCTCTATAAGGATGTGGAAATCTCTCTAGGTAGACGCGTTTTAAAAACTTTGAGAAGCTAAAAAAAGAAAAGTTCAGAGATGACAATATTTGCCCGTGGTGGGCTCAGGCGGTTACACATGAACGTGTGGAGATCTCAAATTTAAAAACCCTAATTTTTATAAAATACACGAATTGTTAGTTTCCATTGATTTTCAGATAAAATCTCAGGTTTCTTCAACAAAACGTTCCACCTTACCCGAAATTAGGGCAAATGAAATAACTAATGTTTCATTTACCCATAATGTTTATATTTTCAACTTGAAAAGGTTGTCTTGTCTCAAAAGGTGAAGCATTTGCTTTTCTCAAGGACAAAGAAATCACTAAACTATTTAGATTATTTTGTTTAGAGAGAAATTTAATGCCAACAAAAACCATAACAAAAAAACATCAACAAAAACCAAATTTTAGGATTAAAATGTATTATTTCTATAATGTTCCATACCCACAATTTATAATGTTCCATACCCAAAATTTAGAATTTGAAATCGGGACTTAATAAATTTGCGTCATCTGCGATATGATCATGATACTTATTTCCTGTAGTACTTCTAAGAGGTCACATGTTAGATCGCACATCAGTTGGAGAAGGGAATGAAACATTTCTTATGAGAGTGTGGAAATCTCTCCTTAGTAGACACATTTTAAAATCGTGAGGCTGACGACAATACATAACTGGTCAAAGCGAACAATATCTACTAGCGGTGGGTTTTGACTGTTACAAATGATATAAAAGCCAGACACTGGGCAATGTGCTAGCGAGGACACTGGCCCCGAAGGTAGGCGGATTGTGAGTTCCCACATCGGTTAGAGAGAGGAACAAAGCATTCGTTATAAGGGTGTGAAAACATCTCTCTAGTAGACGCGTTTTAAATTCATGATGCTGACGACGTACACAACGGGCCAAAGTTGACAATATCTACTAGCTATGAGCTTAGGCGGTTAAATCACCTAATGTAGGAATACTACAAATTAAATATGATCACTTTAGAAGTTCTTATCATCGAGAAATTGAAAAGAAGAGTGCATCTAATTGATATAGACAGTAACTATTAGTATTTGTTAATCATAACTTCTTATTTTCATGATCGCTTTCATTTATATGGTATTTGTTCATTCATGTAATCATTTTCTACACGAACATCACAATTTCTATTTGAAGTTCAATAGTGTTTTATAAGCGTATCCCACATAATTTTTTTTTTATACTTTTCGATCCACACGAACTTTGAGTTAGCTTTTTTTTTTTTCATTGGAAAAGATGAATCCCGATTCCCCTCGAAGGTAACACAGTCTCGATCCAATCGAAAACAATAGAGAATTAGAGAAACTTTTAAGGTAATAAAATATGAAAAATTTTATCACGAAGAATTGGATTATGAACCCGACATAACAAAAAAAGGAAGAGGAAAAGAGAGACAAAATTGTGGGTTAAATCAAAAGATAGACAAACAATGTCGGACACTATGAGGAGTAGCAAGAAAATGTCAACAAACATATTGACAAATTAGAACTCATGCATTTCCAAGCATATGTCTCCAACATTCAACAAACCTTTTCGGGTCGGGTAGGTTTAAATCGGTACGAGATCTAAAAATTATAGTATTAGGTCAATTAAAACTAGAAACCGAGTCAAAATAATCAATAGTTCATATAATAAATCAGTCAATTTTTTTTTTATGTCTTTTAATTTATTAGGATTTCAAATTTAATGTTTTAAAATACAAAATTATATTATATATGATATTATAAAAGAATAATCATACAAAATTTATAACGCGGTTAATAAATTAATTAATGATAATTTATATTTAACTTGATACTTTGAAATTTTTTAAATTAAAAAAATAATGTTGATATTAAATTTTAATATAATAAAAATTCTAATTTAATTAATATTATCCACTCAACTTGAGATGGATGGCTGAGATGCTCCTTTTTGCAACCTTCAATTATCAACCTCTCCTCCCCTAGGCCCCTATTCTAATTTTTTGGATTTTTTTTTTAATTTTATTATTCCATTATTATTATTTTTATTATTATTAATTCAATAATTATAGAGGAGAGATCGGAACATTGACTAATAATAGTTAACTTCTTTATTTATTAAACTGCGTTGATATTAGCTCGTGAGGCTGGGAAAAATTGTCACCTTACTCACACATGACGATGGGTTAGGTCATATATAAAGGAATGCATTACGATTCTTATAAATGTGTTAATAGCGGGAGTATAGTTCAATTGCATAAAACGTGTACTTTATAAAAAAAATCAAAGGTTCGAGGTTCGAATACCTAACCATGGCATGCATTTTTTGTTGAACTAGAAAAAGTCACGTGTTAATAAAGTATTTAACTACGATGTATTTTCTTAATTTTTTTAAAAAATTGATTATAATTAAAACACTTATATGTATGGTGACATTTTCTGACCAAGAACACTTTCTAGCCAAGTTCCCGACATTAGGACCTCTCCTTTCCTTTGACCAACAGGTTCTCGATCAAGTTCACAGAATGACCAAGGAAACTAAATTACGGTTGAGCCCCTTGGTGACATTTCTTTTATGTACAAAACGTAGATATTTGATTTTGTCGAAATTTATTGATAGCTCCGTACAAACTTTTATGGCTTTTTGACTCGCTATGCAAACGGGATGTGCCATTTCGCCCCGATCATTGGTAATTAGTAATTAACGACAAGAACCAGATCTAGATGCCCAATAACATAGAAAATATATGTTATTATATAAACATAACTTATAACGGGTTTATTCCTTAAATTTCACACGTATATTATGTATTTATTTTTTTAGCGATATATACATTCATACTATAAAAATAAACTATTTATATTTATCATCAACCAATTTTAATATTTATCCATATAATTAAAAAAAATTAATAACAAAATGTAATTAGTTTAGATATTTAAAACTTGAAACTATATTATAAAAAAAATATATATATATATATATATTATTATTTTTAAGTATTGAAGAACAGCTTGAGTTTAGAGTTTAGAGGGGACAGATCTACCAAAATAGCCCCAACCGTGCTGCCACCATTGCCGTCAGATCCCAACCGCACGTACATTTATGACTTTTTTTTTTTTTAATATATATTTTAATTATATTCATACTCATTTCGATAAAGTTATCATTTTTCTATAATAAAAATTGTAGTTAATGTATTTTTAAATATCTAAATTTAATTTAATTTTTTTTTTCAATTTTAAAATTAGACCCCTTTCAGTTTACTATTATTTTTTACTAAATTAATTTACTTTCACTAGAGTAAAAAGAGGAATATAGGAATGAACGAGAAATCTTGGATAGAACTACCCAAAAAAAGCTTTAAAAAGAATAAAAGTTACTGTCTATGTCAACAAGGCGTCTTTTTTTTCGGGTGCTTTGCTTGGAGCAAATCTATGTTAGATGAACCAGAACAAAATGTGTCAAAGAACCTGTGTTGGTCTATAGAAAAGAATTTGGGGTTTAATAAAGTAAGTTGAAAGGAATCGAGTTCACTCTTAGAAGAGAAAAATCAACTTTGAATCAGATAATGAGAACTCATTTTTAGATTTATTGAAATTACGGGAGCTAAAGTATAATAAATTTCGAAGGTACAGTGACATACGATTTCAGGGTATTCGAAGCGCCAATCTCTTAATCGAACGTATGAAACAGGTCGGTTTTTTTACGAGCTTTGTTCACTAATTTCTCTCTCTCCTCACCCACTTCCATTATTCTAATTGGGATTGGTGACCCAAAAACAAACCAAACCCTTCTAAGCCCTTGAAACCCATGAAGTTTTGCTATAAGTAGAAGCCATTGGAGCCCTTGAAATCTCCCATAACCATGTTGATTTTCCCACCACTTTCCTTCTCATTTTCCCTCATTTTCTCACCTGCCAAACAGGTTTACATTCATTTTCCGATAGAATTCTTGGTCCTCTTTGTATTCTTCCACGGCTTTCTTGAACTGCATCATCATGTTCTTCACAAAAAGGCTACTTTCTTCTTGGATTTCTTCCATTTCAATGGCTGCGGTTCAATAAAGCTGTGGGAAGATACAATAAAAGGATCAACCCTCTTCTTCAACCTCTGGATTTCTTCAATCCCTTTTAGGTATAATCTTTTCCCTTCTTAAATCACCTTTCTATGTGTAGGCTTCCTTTACAATTGCAGGCTACAACCAAACAAACCGGATAAGGAACCACAAATCAGACCGTTTTAACTAGCTGAGTTATGTTGGAATCATCGTTTTCTTCCAAATTCACATTGATTTTACTTTTACAAACGACTGTTTAATAATACTCGTGCTTTTTGTTTGTTATATAACCCTTTTTGAAATTCTCATTGAAATTTAAAACATTCGTGTTAAAAAAGTTGAATTACATCGGTTGGAGAGGAGAACGAAACATTCTTTATAAGAGTGTAGAAACCTCCCCTTAGTAGACGCATTTTAAAAACCTTGAGGAAAACCCGAAAAGGAAAACCCAAAGAGAATAATATCTGATAATTGTGGAGTTGGAGCTGTTAACTAGCATAATACGATATGATTGAGTGTGTATTGATTAATATCTTTTTAGTGTATATAATGAGCTCGTGTCACTCATCACGAACTGGTCGATCAAATAGATGCAGGAAGGTATTTTACCAAGTTGGTCACGACCAGAATACTCCCGAGTGTAAATCGTGTTTTAATAGTTGAGACACAAGTAAACACGAATCATTTACCCGAGAATAAGAAAACCCGTAAAAAACAACACTTTATATATATATATATATATATATATATATAAAGAGATTTGGTTGATGAACATTTTGGTAGGGTTTTGCAGAGAAGATCAATTTGGGTAAGAACAATTATGATCCTTCTTTCTTCTAGTTTTAGTACCAACAAATTTCCAAACTCTCACATCAGATCAATGAAGACACAGAGGGTATTACACATGTATTTTTGTGACAAAAACCAAGTACCAATAGCGACTTGACTATGCAATTTTTGCAGCCCAACACATGGGTTTTGTCTCTTCATTCGAGTTTTTTTAGCCCGAAAACTTTATAACATGTTTAACAACTCTTTGAACTTTCTCCGTCTGTATCGACATTCAGTATCTAAACTACTTTCAAAAGCGTTTTAACAAGTCCTTGACTTGCTCGACATTCCAAAGTTCAGAGACTTATTAGACATTTTTAAAGCTCAGAGAGCTTAACTAACCTAGTTTTTAGTTTCAAAGTTTAGAGATTTATTAGACATTTCTAAAGCTCAGGGAGCTTTACAAGCACGGTTTAAACACAAGTTTTTAGTTTCAGGGTCAAGTTATCGACTTTTGGTACGGTAACAACGAAATCTTCTAAGCTATAAGCTAGGTTCGAATCTTTTATTAACTTACGAAGAAAAACTCAACGATTTGAGATATCAACATCGTTCGCTTTTAAAGGGTTTTCTTGAATTACTTCCATTCTCTTTGTGTGTTGAAGAACATTGTATTTTATGCCAAAAAAAAGACAAGTTTTTAAAAGAAAATAATAATTTAACCCAAATTAGAGAAGAAAATAAGAATTTATTTCAATTTTTCTGTTCCATTCAATTATTTTGAAAAGTAAGCCATTATTATCCAATAGTGTCCCTCCACCTACCACTTTAATTATTAAAAAAATAATAATAATAAAATGTCAAAAAGGTTCAATATGAATGAAGCATATGGTTGTGAATTTGCACCTAACTCTTTATCACATTAAATTTTGTGTTACATTACTAAGGTCTACTTTCACTTTTTGTATAAAACTATACTTTTATTTAATATATGAATAATTCATTAGGAATTTAAACTTTTGACTATAAATAATTATTTAACTAACACTACGACCAAAACCAAGTTAAAAGATTTATTAGTATTATTATTTTACCAATATAGGATATATGTGAGTGAGGACAAAACATGTTAAAATGACCCGTGTTGGTCCATAAGGATAATGTGACCGTGTCGTAGGGTGTCACAATTGCACTCTTGTAGGAATGAGACAACGATTGTGCGACACTTGTTCTAACCTAGCAAACAAGTCAGTCGTGTGAAATTCGGACATCAACGTATGCTCGAGCATCAGGTTACTTTTGATCGAAATGTTGAAAAAAGTTTTGAAGAAAGCAATGTTATACGCGTGAATAAGCAACAACGACGACTTTGACAGGATATAACCTTGATAGTAAGAATTGACAACTAGTTGCATCTCTTATAGTACATTTTGGGATGTTTAGTTATGGCAAGTGTAGACATGATTTTGGTGATCGGTCATGCACCTTCATATTGACATGAAAGCAAGTAAAAAGGGCTTGGAATGGGAATGCAACCATGGACAATATGTTCGGGACAAACATGATTGGATTTACCTCTCATAAATTTAATTAAAATTTTTATAGTAGAATTTTGTCCATTTCTTATGAAAATTCCTTGTCACACCCCTACATATAAGGACAACAAAAGTCTAAATAATTTAAAACCCAAAGTCCACGAGATGCAATGAACTTGTAAGTCTTCACAACCTAGAGAGATCTCATGAACTAAATAAATTCATAAAATTTGAATCTATTTGAACCCGACCTAACCCAACTCAAATTATAGGGATTGGATTGGGTTAATCAGGTTTTTCGAGTCATCGGGCTTACAGAAAACCCTTTCTAGTTGAAAATTCACACGTAAATAGATCTGAATCAAACTAAAAAGATTTGTGTCAGCCAATTATACGGGTTGGATTAGGTTGATTGAATTTTTCGAGTCATCGAACTTTAGAGAGCTCGGTAATTAAAAATATACCCCAACGTTGTGTGGATAAAAAGGCTAAGAAATAAATATGCAGCTGCCTTGCATTTTACATTCTCTGTGCAATACACAAAGCTTGGAATTATTTACTTAAAAGAGCACACAAACAGCTCATAAATGGTGTACAGAGACAGCGACATGTTTTTTTTTTGTTGTTGTTGTATGTTTTTTGTGGCATTTAAGGGTACAGAGAGTGGTTAAAAAACTGATGCAAGAAAGAGACAAATATTTAACGTTTTTCACAGAAATGTAGGAGATGCAAAATGAACATCATCATTGATGGTAAAAAGGAAAGGTGATTAAGGAATCTTCTCTCTCTAACCCACCATTTTCATTCAAATAGAAAGCTCTCTCTCGAACCGCTTAGGTTTAGTTCGATTTGATTCGGTTCGGTTCGAATGGCTTCTCGGGTTTTTTAGTTCTTTGAAGCTTTGAGCAACCATGCAAGAACACGTTCTAAAGAAAGTAGATAATAAGAGAATTAGTGATGACCCTTCCACAGAGTGTGTAACCGCTCAAAATTACTGCTAATAGATATTGTCTATTTTGACTATTAGTAAGAGGTTTCCACACTCTTATAAAGAATGTTTCGTTCTCCTCTTCCACCGATGTGGGACCTCACAATCCACCCTTTAGGGGCTCAGCATTCTCGCTAGCACACCGCCCAATGACTAGCTGTGATACCACTTGTAAGAGCCCTTGCATATCGCTGTTAACCTCACAATTTTACAAGGAATGCTATGTTCTCCTCTCCAACATCTCGATGTGGGATTTCACAGGTGGGTCTTGTAGCCAAGCTCTCGTTCTAGTTTCGCGCTCGAGGGTTAATCTCCGCCTAGCTCGAGAAAACCTGAAAGTAGAGAACAAGAAAATTAGGGTACCCATAAAGGGTGATGAATAGAGAGTTGGGGGATATTTAGGGCCTAGAAATGCCATGTTCTCCCACAGCTTTCATGAACTTCCAAAGGGTTTTTACTTTGCATAGAAATGATTGAGAAGATGAATGAAAAAAGAGGAAGAAAGTTCAAGAAAGCTGTGGAAAAGCATGGCTAGGACCTCTAGCTCGCTTTGAAAGAAGACATTTACAAGAATGTCTTTGTTGAGAGGAAGACGATGAAAGAACGGGTTAGAAAGGCCATAACATGGACCACTCTATACCAAATTATACAATTTTCTTCCCAACTTTATATAGACGAGGAGAGATGGTGGGATCTAACTTAACCTACGTCTTCTCTTCTCGAGTCTCGTGTCTAGTACGCTCTTAAGTTCTTCGACTTTTTTGGCTCGGAATTTGAATTTTTCGATGTTGTGTTGAGTAATTGGAGAGACCCATCGAGTATAATTGTTGAAAGTTTAGGGACTTACTAGACATAAAATTAAACGTAGAATCAGACACAATCTTAAAAGTTTGTAGATTAAACGTGTAGTTTAAGCGGGAATTGATATAAGAATCATAAAGACAAAGAAAGTTCATCCTTTTGCCCACATGGTAACATGTGATCCTCAAATCTCATCTTTTATTTTAAAGTCATTTATGTGTATGCCAAATTATTCCATTTGGGTATCACAGATCCAATCCTCTTAAAAATAATTTGTAAAAGAACATCCAACCACTTCCAAAATCAATATGAAGTATATATATATATATATATATATATATTGCATTTTGGACCCTTTCTTGTTGGATTTGTGTGAATTATTGTAAGAGTTTTGGTAAAGTTGTAAATATGCTAGGAGGCTAGCTATTTTGTGGAGTTATTATTGTAAACCTAATTTCGTAGCAACGGATCTCGGGTCGGACCGAGCGAAGAATGAAAGAGAGGGCAATAGATGCCCTCTAAGCCACGACGATTAGTGTACGTTGTCACAATCGCACTTTAAGATAGCGGGACAACTATTGTGTGGCTCTTGTTCTAACTCAACGAACAAGTTGGCTGTGAAAAGTTTGGACTTTGTAGATACCGTTGGCGTATGTTCGAGCCTCGAGTTACGTTTGAGAGAAATGTTTTAGAAAACTTGAGCGAGGAAATACGTTGAAAACCATTTGAAAGAGATTAGACACTAACAACGACTTTGATAGCATATAACCCGAGTAAGAAGAAGTATCGACTAGTCATATCCTCCTATAGTATGTGTGTAGACATGATTTTGGCAACGGGTCATACACCCCCATCTTGACACAACATGAAATAGTAAAAGTCTATCTAAAATAAAAGCATGGAAAAGGGGTTTGGAACAGGCATGCAGCCATAGACAACGCGTCCTAGACAAACATGATTGGGACATCCAACATGCAGTTATAGACAACACGCCTTGAACAAACATGACCGTGACATACATGACTTGAACATGCAATAAACAATAAATAACTATTAGTCTGAGCACTTGGCTATGATAATCATTCGTCCCGAGATGCAAAGTTGTATGTATTGAAAAGGATGTCTGGTCGCTAGTAACTTTTTTCTTTTACCGTTGACACGGTGTAGCGGTGGAAATTCAAACTTTAGATCTTTACATACAAAATATGGGGAAATTTGAAAAATGGGCACAAGCAAAAGAAAACAAAATGTAGTAATAATTCATATTTTCTCTCCCCAAAGTTGAAGAAAAGGTGAGTGTGACCCTTTTAACCCTAAAATCAAATAAAGACAATTTTTTTTGGACTTATCTCTTGCTAGGCTTCACATATATCAATTGCATAATGTACCATATAACAATAGTATGATTATTTTATAGAGCTCGTTTTTTATCCATTCCAATTCAAATCATGATTCTGAAAATTTTTAAAATTACGGTATTTAAATTTTAAATGTTAAAAAAATAGTACAAATAAATAAATGGGAGGATGGGATGTGCTAGAATGAGAGAATGAGAATGACATTTTTCACTCTTCTTCAATCACCAACCTACCAAAATAAAACATACTTACAATTCCTAAACCTGCCAACTCTGACTCATCCCGTACGCTTTGAAGGATTGGAGATATTTTTATAAATGTATTTTATTTATAAATAATAATTTTAAATAAATAAAAAAGAATTAATTTTAGTCGGTAGAAATATATTTTAAAAAAAAAAGGAAAATAAGTGAATTATTTGAAGGCAGACGAAGACAAAAACAGAAAGAGACAAATTTGAGTGTCACTTCTTTCATATCTCACGGTACTAGCGAAAAAGCCACGTTCATGGGCCACCTTTACAGCCCACATTGGAGGGCCCATTTCCTCAACAGTCTCATCCTCTGGCCCACATATATTTGGGCTGCTCTTTAAATGTCCACTTTTTTTGTCCTTACATGAGCCACCTCAATTTTCTTTTAAAATATATTTAATAAATACGCGTTAAATAAATTTGTAATTTATAATAATATTAATAATATTGCTGGAGGAGGGACCATGGCAAGGAGGTGTACGTAAGCGCATGTGATAAAAAGTTAACAGAATAATTATAGGTTGTTGAACCGGAACGGTTTTGCATCATTGGACCGTCACTTTCAAGCGTGGCCCTGTCTCTTCTATAGTCCCCCCCTAATATTAATTATTTAAAAATTAAATTAAATTACAAATTTATGTATCGGGTGCTCGATCGAGCTGTCACTGATCAGTACCGCTCAATGGCCAACGAGTTCGTCAACTAGATCAAAATCTTATCGTTCTCGGGCTCTCGAGACTTCTTATGTCGATCAAGTAAAATGATACGTTAATTTAACCTCCCCCTCTAGCTATTTTCATTCTTCATTAAATATAAAAATAATAATAATATAGAAATAAATAAATAAATAAAGGTTTTTTTTTGTATGGACTCCAAATTCGTGAGGCCCAAAATTCTTTGTATTTATCGGATTGGGCCTTCGGATCTGAAAATAACAAAAATACAATATTAGAAGCCCATGGGCCCAACATGATGGGCCCAACATGATTAACGTTCCTTTTGGGTTAACAACTTAAATAACTTTTTAATTACGCGTTTTGAAAAAATTGCAAATATATATTTATTATTGAAAAGATTACCAAACGTAGTTTGCTTATTATTAAATAAAATTATGAAAAGACTAAAATACCCATGAACGTAATTTCTGGCTATTAAATTTAATTTAAAATTTGTTGCAATTTTTACCGTTATTTATAAATTATGGTAAAATTATTTTACATGGATCAAATTTAATATTACCAAGTAGTTTATTTTGGTGATCAAATTGAAACAAGGAATTAATAATAATTTATTTTACCTAATTATTTAATTTTGTCTGATATCGATGTAATTATATTGTTAAGTAAAAGGTTCGAATCTCGACGTACCTATATGAATATTTAATATGATTTATTTACTTGGTTTTTGGGGTAGATTTGTCATTTTCTCAAATTTTTTTTATCGAGTTCATGTTATTGTCGTTAAATTAGGAATATAATTTTTTTTTTCACTTTTGACCGAAAAATTGGAGAAAAAAAGGCTTAACATTCAAGATTTCTTCAAGTTCTTCCTTCTTCGTGCAACCTAACATAACCTAACGAAAGGTGTATCAAATTCAAAGTCTTGAATATTTATAGCTCAAACTTTCATGTCAAATAACTCTTAAAGCTTATCGGCTATGATAATGACGTTATAATGACATCTTATTGTATAAACTTCCAAGGGATAGGAACTTGATGGGTTAACGTTAATTATGTTTTATTATTCATATTATTAATATTTAATATTTATTTAATTTTGATCGAAATAACTTTTCTAGACGCTAGAGGTCAACTCTTTGAGGTGAAGCCAAGAGTTTGACCATCTCGGTGGAGAAGTTGGACATTCCAAAGGAAAAACAACAACAAAGACAAGAAAAAGGAGGCTAATCTGTCGGGTTGACAAAGAGCTGAGCCTCAAGGTCGGAGGTACAAGCATGAAGCATGTAGGATACGAAACCTAGAGATGAGACTAGGGACAAAAACGAGACAAATCCAACTTCATTGGGTTAGCCATAACCTAGAGAAACGCCCGCATGAGGGTTATGAGGGTTATCGAGACCTAAGAGGTCGACCCCACATAGGATCGATTGTAACCCAAATGAAATAAACCACCTCGAGGGATAGTTAATTGTTTATATGTTACTTGCTTCCAAATGGCACTCGTATATTCGTTTCAATTTCATGTGTACATACAATTAGTTGCAACCATTAATTTTTAAGTTAGACTTCCTTTTCAACGTATATATTATAAAGAAAATGAAAGGACGTTTAAAATGGTTGAAATTAAAAAAAAAATGAAAAATTGTATATGCGCGTCCTTATCTCTATCTCCGTAATAATCTCATTCTAAGACGGTCTGAATAACCTAATTTATTATATAATTAGATTAAAGTCATATAAGATTAAAAAAAATTAACTCATTTGAGTTTTTTTTTATTTAGAGGTAATTCAAATTTTTTACCTTTTTGACCAATAACATAACTAACGGGGCTGTTCTCCATCTTTGACCTTTTGGTCAATAATGTAATGCCTTAACTACCGGGTAATCTACCTTTGTAGAAATCTTAGGCTACAAGTCTATTTGATGTATATCAACGATATAGAAGTTCTTCGTTACGACCCTAAGGAGAATTTCAACCGAGAACGAAAAATTCTCTCTAGAGCTCTCTCTATTCGATCTCTTACCGGTTTTCTTTCAAAATGCTCCCACAAGTCTTAACAATACGTTCGAGTCATAACAAGAAATATTTAGTGAAGAAAATTCAACCCTCGAAGATTCTCGAACTAGCAATCTCCGAACTTTCATATGTTACTATATTGCTCCCAAACTTTGAAAACGTCAATAAACTTCGAAAAAGAAATGAACCCTCTTTTAGTCGGGTCGGCGTGCACGAGTCATTAAATTACACATTCAAAGTGAATAGAGTTTTGTTTATTATCATTAGCAATGCTTGAATTTACGTCAAACATTGATTAATTGGTTGTGGTGTGGAGGAATCATTTCCATATTTAAAAGACTTTGAAGCACGATCACGCAATGACACACACACACCATTTCTTCTTTACAATTTTCAGCGACAAAATGGAGTTTTAAATAAAAAGAAACAATACCCACCACGCGGTTTGTGGGATCCAAAAAGCAGATTTGGCGTTTCAAAACCGCGTTTCTTTCAATTCCTTTCCCCCTTTTCATCGTTCTTTAAAACCCTTCTCTTCAAATCCCTCCTTCTCTGCACCTTCCTCCTCCTTCAACAATGGAATCCGTGATGAACCTTCTGTTCTTGGCGGTTTTGTTCGTTGCTGGGTTTGTCAATTTCCTCATGTATTTCCCCACCAAGAGATTCACCGCTTGGTTCCAATCTATAAAACCCTCTCCCCAATCTGTCCATTTCAAACCCACCGCCGTTCCTCCGCTGTCTCCGGCGCCGGAGAAGAAGAAATCAGAGATGAAGAAGGTGTTTGGGACATTTGACAAGAACAAAGATGGGTTCATAACGAAGAAGGAGCTGATGGAATCGCTGAAGAACATGAGTATGATGATTACAGAGAGGGAAGCAGAGGAAATGGTGAAAGGGGTGGACGAAAATGGAGATGGGTTGATTGATTTTGAAGAGTTTTGTGTTTTGGGGGAGAAATTGGTGATGGGTTTTGAAGAAAAACAGAGGAGGGTTGAAGATGAAGATGAAGATGAAGATGAAGATGAACTGAGAGAGGCTTTTGGAGTGTTTGATAAGGACAAAGATGGAGTGATATCAGTGGAGGAATTGGGCTTGGTGCTGTCTTGTTTGGGGATGAATGAAGGGAAGAAACTTGAGAATTGTAAGGAAATGATCAAGAAAGTGGACTTGGATGGGGATGGAATGGTGAATTTTGATGAGTTTAAGAGGATGATGAGAAGTGGAACAACTCTGGTTTTCAATTGATTTATAGAGTTCTTACTATTTCTACACTAAATTTGTTCATATGCTTTGCTTTTTCATTTCAAATTCTCTTAGAGCAACACATTTTCTACTGATTTCTTCTGTAAATTTGTGCCCCTCCCTCTCTCTGATATGAAGTGTATGGTAGGATTCAAGTATATATATGATATTGTCGACTTTGGACATAACCCGTTTGTGTTCGTGCCCATGATTCCTATAGAGTGAAAGAGCTGTTCGGTGATTCCTAGGTTGCAGCACCTCCGATCGTTAGCTCCTCGTGTCGTTGTATTGCTTCTAGGACTGATTGACCGACGTAAGAGATGTTCTTTTCATGGATTCTATCAACGGAGACAAAGTCGGAAGCATGACTTTGATATCACTAATTAGGGTCGTTAGAACTACACACAATTAATCTCATATATGATGTTGTCTAAAAGACTCCTTTCAGTTTGATTAACGGGTGATTTTTTTTGTTTGAGTAGGATTTATGTCCTATTTCTATTTGATAGTCTTTCTTTTCGAAAATATTTATAAGATTAAGATATTATTTTTTTTAGTGTAATTTAAAATTTCTTTCATTTTAATTTAATAATTTTAAATGTCGAAATTTAATTATAATTCTTTCGTATAGTATAAAAAATATTCTATAAACCTTTTTAATGAAATTTATAATTATTATTTAACTAGCAACAATTTAGTTTTAAGTTCTATTAAAAAAATATTTTAACTCACTGATAAGTATATTTTTAATAACTTTTTTTCTAGAAAAAAATGTATAATAATATAAAAAAAATATTTTAAAAATGCATTATTAACCATTTGTGAATCAGAAATGAAACGTGATAACAACAAATTGGTTTTAATTATTTTTATAACAATAGTTGATAAATAACTATGAGGTTCGGTTTCTCGTTTTTATAATTGTATATTAAAAGAAGACGATAAATAATTAATAGTCTAATATAAATACTAATAATTAAACGTGCTTTAAATTATTTTTTTTTAATCCGAGAGAAGACTTGGTATCGTTTGTTTAGTTCCACTAGGCACTCTTATTTTTCTTAAGTTCTGATGTAAATAGCACAGAGCTCGAGATCAAAGACACAAATCTAGAGTTAATAAATTAACCAGTTGAAATTAATTTATTCTAGACGAGTTTATAAAAAAAAAATTAATTTAAGTTTTTGAAAGTGGGACTAAATAAACTTCTTTTAATCATTAAAAGTACGGAAAATGCAATTTTAACTTATTAGTTTTTCGGTGGGAATTAGATACTTCTGGAAGAATTGATTGAGAGAGTTTTTTTTTTTTTTTTTTT